TACAACCTTTACATCCACAGAGACATTTTTTCCATACAAAATACACTTTAGCCGTTGTTCTGGCTGTTAATGCAGCGGGAGCAGACATGTCCGAAAATGTTGGAGCAATATTTCAATTAGGTGATGCTTTGGTGAACCGAGCAGAAGTTTGAAACGTACACAGCTACATTCTCGCCTAAAAACATTGTAAAAAAAAAAATCATGTTGTGTCACTTAAAGTGTAATACAGCAAAATAATTTGCCGCTCTTCATTGTCGCTTTGCCTGAACGCCCGGTGTTCGGGCCCGCAGTGAATTATGGGATATGGTTAAGGAAACACCTGACCCATCCTTAAAGAGAAGGCCGCCATTTGAAGGAGTCTCTGTTTGATGTCTGACCAATTTATATGTTTATTTTACTACCATCTTATTTTATGTGTGCCTTAAGCCTGTAAGACTTGACATCTTCCTGTACATACATGCCACGTGATTCTGTACAATTATTCCAAAATGTTTATTATTATTATTATTATTATTATTATTATTATTAGTAGTAGTAGTAGTAGTAGTAGTAGTAGTAAAAAATAATAAACATTATTATTATGTTTATTAATAAACATAATAATTTTATGTTTATTAATTTTATGTTTATTCCTGGCGATTTCCTGCCAGGAAATCTGGCAGGAAATCGCCTGCCAGATTTCCTGGCAGGTGAGAAGGCCTGCCAGGAAATCTGGCAGGCCTTCTCACAGGCCTTCTCGCTACAAGTCCGGCCTTCGAAGGATGCAGAATCCGGCTTTTTTGTTATTATTATGATTATTGAGCTGCCGTTCTTAAAGGTCATTCCTACATGAGCCTTAAAGAAACACAGCTTATCGAGTTTAAAATTATGTTGTTGTATTTTGTAGGTTTTAAAACAAATAAACAGCATATTCTTTACAAAAAAATTGGCAAGGATTGGGCTGCCATTAGTACAGATGTTGTACTCCTAAAGCTGCAGTATGTAACTCTTATAAACAATGTTTTCTTGCATTTTTTTTCTTAAATGTAAGGTTAAATTATATTTTTGTGGGAAGTGTTTTGTTCTAGGGCATCCATCATTAAAACCACCACATGTTACAGTAGTCCTGTGCAGCATCCAAGTAACAACCAGTTCACTGCTGTAACATCATCAGCTTAATTAAAGGCGGTGCTAAAGTAGGCGTATTATTTATGTGCACCAGGAAGTGGCATGTTGGGTTTGTGGGGGGTGACATGTTGGAGCTGTTAGTCTGTAACCCAAGATGTCGGTATTAAGTCTTAAATCTCCCTGGCTTTAAAGTTCTTCATAATTACAGTAAACACAGCCGGCCCTCTGAATGCTCATTGGCTGACGCAGGTCAGGTGAAGCACGGTAAACAGTGATTGGCTGGCCTGCAGCCGGTGGGCGGAGCCTCAAGTGTCCTTTCAGAGGAGCTGATGCAGTTTGTTTGTGTCTGGAAGTGCGATCAGACCAGGTCTGTTCATTATTTCTGAGGCCCATAAACACTAAACTGCATATTAGACGTGCAGGTGGAGCATAAATACATGATGTCTGATTCTGATGTACGGGTTGCAGCGGCTGCAGCTTTCTAACTGATAGTTTGACAGAAATATAACTCTGCACATTTACAAATGACCCTTGATGGAAGCTGTTATTTTACAGTCCACAAATATCTAATTTAAATCAAAAGTAACATCACCGTTTAACATTATAATAAAAACAGCAGAGATTAGTCCAGTTTGTGTTAAAAATGGGGCCTGAGGGGGTCACAAAAAAATTTAAAAACGTTTACAAGTAAACAAACTTTTTTATTTTATCAGCTCAATAATAAACTAAATGTGTAAGATTTTAATGAAGCAAACAAAATATAGTTTTGCAAAACACTTCAAAAACAAAATTTTAAGTGTTTTTGGTCAAGATTCGAGTTCAGATATCTTACAACATTTGAAAAAAGACAAAACCAACTAAGAAGTAACTTTTCAGCAAGAAGAAGGAGCTTTTTAAAGCAAGTTATTCTGTAATACTCATTAAAGAAAAGTTATACTTATAATAAGACATTTTCTCTATGTTTCAGTCTGCCAGTGAAAGTAGTAGTTTTCATCAGTATGAAGGAATTACTGACTTAAAATAAGCTGAGACAGAAAGAGTAGGAGCTTCTTAAAGAGACAGAAACTTTCTTTTGTAACATTCAGCTCTGGAAAAATTAAACTACGAGCCACAGCACTGAACCCCATTGAAAACCTCCTGGTCATTACACCAAAAATTGGTTTCTAAATTCTTCCTGAGTTAAAACATCAGTATTGTTGTTTCTAAACAAATATTAACTTGTTTTCTTTGCATTATTTGAGCTCTGAAAGCACTGTACTTTTTATGTTGACCATTTCTCATTTTCTGCTAATAAATACTACATTTTTGCTTGTAATATCAGAGACATGTTGTCAGTAAATCATAAAATAAAAGAATAATGTTCATTTTACTCAAACATAAACCTATAACAAGTAAAATCAGAGACACTTTTTCCAGAGCTGTAGATATAACAATGAAGGTAACATATAGCTATTTAATTGTCCTATAAAATGGTATTATGTGGCTGGAAAATACATAATACACTTTAAAACTGTTTATCCATAAATGTTTAGATTTAGAAATTTAGCTTAAAATGTGGTGAAATTTGTACAATAAAATTAATAATCATATGTCTGCCTGTCGCAATAAGCATCAATTAAAACGAGAACAATAATTTCACAATTTATCGTTTTTCTCTCTTTGTTTCTCCAAAACTGGATGATAAAAGTTTTCACTCTGCTTCATTTGTCTCAACTAGAACTTTTTTAGGGACAATTTTGTTTAATAATTAACTTAATTTTGTTGTTTTTATTTTTGATTTTGGATATTTAAAATGTCTTCCAGTTCCAGGGCTGAATGCTCAGTAGAATTTAAAGTTTATTCATCTTTCAGGCTTTATTGCATTATTATTATGCCTTTTTAATCATACTACTTCAAAATAATCTCAAAACAACAATATTATCGTTTATCGCAATAACTTCTGGAACAATTTACCGTCAAGCAAAATTTCTTATTGTGACAGACTTATTTATAAATTAAAAAAAGGAAAGTTAAGAAAGTAAGAAATCCATAAATAACAGGCTTTGAAGGAAGCTGTTTATGCACCATTGTTAAAAAAACAACAACTTTTGTTTACCTGTAAAAGTAATAAATTATATTCAGTCCAATCACTGATCAATATATTTGAATCATAAAACCAAAGCTCTGTGAAAGGAATAAAAACCCACAAAACAAACCAACCCGGCATGAAAGGCTCAGAGTGGAACCAGAAATATTTGGTCCCGTGTTTGCGACACGGAAAGGTTCGGTCGGTTTGTTTGGTTCTGTTGCACAACGTCGTGATCGTCTGTTTGACCCAAAGGCCTGAAATCCAAACTCCTGCTCCTGTTCCTGTAAACGAACCATTTTCCATAAACTCTGAGTCACCCATGAAACCGTGCGAGGAGTGCCGTAAAAACCCTGAGGGCTGCTGGGAGTCAGAGCCACAAACATCAGAACCGGATCAGAATTTACGTCCCGGTCCGATCTCAGACTTTATTTCTACCAGCTGAAGCTTCAGAGAGGAAATTATAAACTCACCATCGGTTCCTGCTTTAAAAATCTCATTTTATGTCGTAAAAAAACTGAAACGTGTAAATGTTAATTATTTCTAACAGCGTAAAACTACAAAACAGATCTGAAGATATTTAATTTTGTTTTCATGAATTTAATCCAGAAACTGAAACTTGTAAATTAAATAAATTCAGTAAACACTAACTCTTACATTTCAGGTTTGTTTTTATTCTCTTAGATTGAGGATTATGGTGCTCTCTCTGCAAAAACACAAAATCTTAGCAAGTATTTCTGTCTAGTTTGCAAATATCTTAATTCGCTTAAATAAGATGAAACTAACTTACAAGTAACTTTTCAGCAAAATATTGGAGCTTGTTTTAAGAAAATTATTCACAATAGATACTAATACAAGTGAAATAATCTGGCTGTGAAACTAGTAAAAGCCTCTTAACTTGCGTATGCCTTGGGCCGGCATTCAGATGGAGCCGCTAGTTATTATACCAAAGTTTTTTCGTCCACTTAACTTTCCTTTATTATGCCTGGATACAACACCACGATTAGAAATCATTACCTTTTTGTTACATTCTTCCTCAAGTATTAAAATCCATTTTTATTATTATATTTAACTTTTAATTAATACATTTTGAGAGAAATTAAAGTTTTGATTTTCATAATAATCAAAATTATTGGAATCTATAAATTTCCATGTATCAAAGTGTTGAAGCTTGATGTTTTATCCAGGCTGTCATCCTTCTTCGCCTCTGTTTGTGAAACATTTTCTCATTGTGTTTTGGACTCAGTGTGGGAGTTTTTCATGCTGTAATTCACTCGGTAGTTTATTCATTCCTGCATTCTTACACGAGCCAAAACACGGCTGGATTCCTGCTGAATTTATCCATGTGACCAAACTAAGAACTGAACAGGAAGATCCTGGAAAAAACCCAAACAGCTGTTTTAAAAAGAAACAATACACATTTAAACTGTCACCACGTTAGTTTTGGTCTGTAATTATGGTTATTTTAATCGAGAGCGCAGCTTGTTCTTCCAGTAAACTGCAGAGTCGACTATGGCGTATCCGTCTGCATCTCTACAAATTAAAATAACTGAAAACAATTCTTTATTCCATATTTCAAATTAAAAAGATGTGAAATGGATATAATGTGTTATCATGTTATGGCTTAAAGCCAAGCTAGAATATTACATAAGTTTAATTGAAAACTGAATGTTATGCAGAGTTTTGTGTTCAAGTATATTAGTGGAAAGTTGAGTGGAAGGAAAAAGTGTGGTAGGGATTTTTTCTTTTGCTCTTACTTCATGTGTCAAACTCAAGCAGGTTGGCCCAAAATGAAAATGAGTTTGACACCCCTGCATTACACTTCTAGTTTTAGTCAGTGGTGATGATGTGTAACCACGGCAACAAGGTTTGTTTTTTTTTTTTTTTTTTTGCTTGATTTTTTACAACCAGAAAAAGCTGATCAGAATCTCAAAGCTTAAATAACACGTGACCTACGACCCCGAAACCCTACAGGAGTTACAATGGAGGCTTGATGGATGTAGAGGAAAAAAGAGCAGAGAAAACAGGATGAGGTCAAAACCTTTTCTTCTGTCAGTTATAAAGGACAGAAATCATGTTCCAGACTTTAACGTCTGCCTGCGATCCAAAGAGGAGCGGCAAAAGCAACGCAGTGGATTAGCAGCAGCTGGTGTCATCCAGTCCACGATGCTGTGAAATGTAATCTCTGCTGGCCAGATTTCAAGTTGTTACATAACGGTCTTTATGCAAGTGTCTTCAGTCAGAGGCTTCTTAAAATTCACTGCAAGACTGACTGCTACTGCAGTAACTGAAAATACAAGAATAATGTGAATTACAACTTTTAATTTTCCTTTTTTAAATCGAATCTTTGTGATTGAATTGAAGCAACTTCAAATCTGAATCTGACAGGGGTATGAATAATTTTGAACTTTACTCAAGAATTAGAAAGTTCAGTTTGTGGTTTACAAAAGCCACTAGTTCTGACTTAGTGCTGCATTTTAACATATCTATGGAAAGTTCAGTGGAAGGAAAAGTATAATTTTCCAAATTGAACTGAATTACCAACTTTTCAATTATGTAAAGAAACTAAAACTGTATTTAAAGAAGCACTGAAGGCAGATATTATTTAAATGTTTTATTAGGAAAAACAAATAGAAAAAGTTGACAAAACATTTTGTATAAAAATACATTTTTCCTTTAGTGTGCCCCAACTTTGCACATTTGACCCTGAACTCATACAAACTGACTTTTTTGGAAGTTGAGGAAGATTAAAAAATCCTCAAATTCAGTCAGGTTAGTGGAATGCTTCAGTGGCGTCTGCAGCTTTCACCGGCCGACCTCTCAGCACCGAATGGCTCGGTCCGCATGACTCCGAGGCCGCCGCCGCTGCTTATCGCAAAAAAAACAAAACAATGCAACATCCTTCCTGTTGCCATTCCGCTTAAACCAAAACACTCCAGTGTTTTCCACACAAAAACTGCTCTCTGATTTCAACCATTTAGTTTTTTCTCTCAGGTTTCTCCAGCTCTGAGAGGAGAACGCCTCTAAAACGCTCATGCAGATCATTCAGGCGCACGTTTCCTTTCTGCACGTCTTCAGCGGCATGCATTCAAGAACAAACGCATCTCATCCTCTGCTCCACCTTCACACCTGTAGGTACATCACGTAACAGACGCAGCTGTCCAGTAACAACGCGCAGCAATGCGGGTTGGCGTCTGCCTGCTGCCAGGAAACGGCAAAGTTACAAACTGAGTCGACAGTCGGCTCAGAAAATGACTCTGCCTGATAAATACCAAGTGATCCTGAAACGCCCAACAAGTCCCAAACTCCTTACGTCTCATGAAAAGAGGGGAATCGTCGACTGGGAGGCGCTTCGTCTCCGAGAGACGGAAAAATTGCAGGAACAGTTTTGGAAAAACAAATCACTTGTGAAGGACAGGAGCTGGTACAGAGAAGCCGTTTCCCCGTGTCGGCAGAACCGTTCGTGTCTGCCAGCTTTTCAGTTCCTGTGAGCTCCTCCTCCTCCGGGTGGCGCTGCAGTCCGGCTCTGCGGTCCAGGCGCTCGTTCAGCAATGAGGATTAGATCCAGAAGAAGACAAATCTCTCGATTCGTTTTGCTAGTAACGCAGCTCGTCGCTCAGGCGGGGCTCGTGGTTCAACACGTCATGCAGCGCGGTCGCATGTGGGGGGGTTGAGGGTTCGGGTCGATCTGGACACCAGAAGAAGAACAGAGCAGCGTTAGATAAGCAAGATTCAGCCACACACAGTTTGAATTCAGATTTTCTCAAAAGAAAGAAAGATAGAGTGTCTTCAGTCAGAGGCTTCTTTAAAGTCGATTGATGACTGACTTCTACTGGAATTCCTTCCAGCCCAAATCGACTGTTTGCCAAACATCTTCTATTAATTTCTCTTTTGGATCTATAAAGTCTTTTTAAATTTAATCTTTTTAACTTAATGAAAGTAACTTCTGTGCAGTTTGTGCTTCACCCAAGTTAATTTTAACATTGGTGTTTACATGTTGAAGCATGTTTAATTCAATTTCCCTTTTGGATCTATAAACAACTTATGGGAAGTTTAGTGGAAGGAAAAAGGAACGTTCTCCTGACAGAACTGAATTATTGACAAACTACAGTTATATTTTGATTTTATTTAAACAGCTATCCAGCTAGCTCCCTAGATACATTATTAATGTTTTTTCTTCGTTTTATGTAATAAACCGTTTTCTCTCTGGAGTCGCTCACCTCGCTGTAGACCGGCGGAGGTCGGAAGCGAAACTCCTGAAGGAAAGCCATGAGCGGCCGCTCCATGATGCCGCTCAGGTCTTCAGCCGGCGGCGGGGCGACGCCGTCGTTCCGCTGCTCCGCCTCCTCCTCGGTCACCACAGAGCTGTACTCTGGAGGAGCTGCGGGGGAAACAGACTCGGTTATCCGACCGACCCGACTCAAGCCGGCAGAGCTTCCGGTTCGGGTCGCTGAAGGGAAACTCACGCTCGGGCTGCTCCGGGATGGCCATGCGCAGCCACTCCAGGTTGACGCTGTAGTGGCTGCTGATGCTGGACGTGCGGCTGCCGAAGGGATGCAGCGGGATGGTGCCGATGACGAGCGGCAGCTCCAAGCACAGCTTGGAAGTTCCCGGAACGTCGACGCAAACCTTGGAGAAGGAAAACAAAGAGTTAGCACTTAAATGGAGACGTATGTGTGTGAATAAACCTGTCACAATATGCAATTAATCAACTAATCGCATCATAAATGAAAATAAGTTTGATGATTTTCATTCCGGTGGTTAATATTTGTAGCTTAGAGTTAATAATCCTTTTCATTTATGGTTTTTGGTTGCTGTATTTTATTTTTGATATTTAAGCTCATTAGTCTTTGAGATGGTAAACTTGCATAGGTGAGAATTTATCGTATCGTTTATTGAATATTGTGCAAAATGTATCATGATTTATCACCTTTTTGAAATTGTTTTTAATGTCTAATATTGCCTGTTGGCTAACTATTGATTACATTACTTTCTCAGGTAATATAATTGTAATGGCAAAGATATTATCAAATTCAACAAACTTCAAATTCTAACCAACATTTTAAACTGTTGATTAGTTCAAAATAAATAAAAACAACAAATAAAATGAATTATGACTTCTCTGTAAACAAATCAGATTTTTGTCATCCAGTTTTTGGCAGAAAAAGAGAGAAAAGCGGAAATCATTGGTCTTGTTTTAATTAATCATGCGATTTATTGATTTATTTCGACAGGCCTGCTTGTTGTGACGGACGAAGATCAGCCTGGACTCACCTTCAGCATGTACTCCACCTTGATGATGCGGCACTGCTGGATGGACGGCCCCACCGGCGGGATCTTGATGGCCCGACCGTGCCAGGTCTCCCGGGTTCTGGCGCTCACCATGTCGCCACACAGCGTCGCCACCACCGAGCGCTTCTGCTTCATCGTGCCGCGTGCAATGAACGTCTGCGTCTGGATGATAAAGGCTTTGGGCACGATGGATCTGGACGTGGCGTTGTCGAACTCGGCAAACACAGGTATGACCTCACCTGCGGCGGGGGGGCGGGGCTTGTTAGAACCTGCAGCCGCCGTCGGGTTGCTAGGCGTCACATTTACGGAGGATCTTTTTACCTGGAGTGTAACCTTTGCGGTCGATCTTTGCGGTTACGGACACCTGTCCAAAGTTACGGTACCACGTCCGCGCCAGCTTGTCCTTCGTCCCCGCCTGAGGAGCCTGAAGACAAACAAAAACCAGTAAGAAAGAGTTTGAAAATCCATGAGGATCAGAATTAAAAACAGAGATGCACCAATGTCAATATCTGTATCGGTCCAATATTGACAAGAAAATTTGGATCGGGTATCGTGTCAATGTGTTCGATCCATAATAGCCGATCTATTCAGTCTAATTCTATACTTTACAATCCTAACATCACTTTCTGAACCATTTGAAAGAAGGTTTGTTGCCTTTTGCTTTGGTCAGATTATTTTACATTGGATGTTATTCTACATGCTGCACAGATTGAACAAATTAAAGTTGAGTTGTTTTTACACAAGCTTGTGGAGCTACTGGTGTTTTAAAGTGTGATGTACTGGTGCAGAGTTCTTACATTAATGTATAATTTAGTACATTTACTGGATTTAGCCCAGAAAAACTTACTAAGCCTGGCTGTAGGGGGCGCTAGGCCAGCCATCAGGTGTGTTTGTGGGTTAAAAAATGATTAAAGTTGACAGGAAATCTGAAAATATCACTGGTGAATTATGTGGTATTGGAAAACATCATTAACAATACCTAAACTCCAACTGTAAAGTCTTAAAAAAATGCAAAAATAAAAAATCAATGTTTAGCCTGGAGGGGTTGTGTAAAGCCTGGTGGCCCGCCAGGCTGATAATACAACCCTGTATTGAATCAGCTGATGCTAAACATCAGATATGGTATGAACGTGCGTCCCAGCTGCTCACCAGCAGGCTTGGCGTGTTGATGTCGATGGGCTCGATGACGGTGAACTCCTTCTTGATCTTCCTGACGGGACACCACGGCCTGTGCAGCTTCACTTTGACCCAGTAGCGGATGCTGCCATGCTTCCCCTCGAAGGAGGTGACGAGCGTCTCCTCCGGCAGCTGGAAGCTGAACGGGAATTCGTGTCTGCCGGCAGGAAGGACCGTCAGCTCGCCGTTATCTGAGGAGACGCAGAAAAACACGTTCAGACTTCTCTTCTTTTACACAGGAGAGAATAAAGCCATTACTATTTTAATAAAAGAGTCTACAAATAAAGTTGGCTTGGCTAAAGCAGTAAATTCAGTTTGGTGAGGCTCTCTGCTTTTCTTTCAAATCACATGGTTTCTGTTTTTGCTCTGAGGGGGCGGTTCTGCCTCAAGCTACATGATGAAGCCCATTTCAACCACTGTAGTCTTGCAGAACAGGTACAAGAATGCGTGTTTAGGTTCAGTAGACCAGATGTTTTCCCCCCCACCCCCATTTCTTTCATCATCACTTTTTGCAACTTTCAAAAGTCAAACGGATTAAAAATAAACCCAATAAATTAAGATTAAGATGATAAAGTGTAAGCAGGTTTCTGCAGGACAAAGTTCAGCTGCAGTGCCAACTTCCTGGTGTGCCCTTTAAACCTAAACAGCTTTGTGCTGAATGAAAGAAAACCTGAGGGTCCCCCGTTCTGCAGCAGAAAACGAGACAGGCTGCTCCAGCAGATGTTTTCACAATGAGGAGGCAGCTGCGCTCTCTCTCACTAAACCAGAATGCAGCAAGAGTTCCTCAACTTTATGCAAAAATAAAAAATAAAAAAGGAAACGCAACATCGATCTGATTTATAAAGACAAACTGTTTTTTGAGTTTGTTTCTGACCCAGTTTGCAGAACAACAAGCGGCGCGGTGCTCCCAAACGCATCCCTCAGCAGCGGACTGACCTGCCTGCAGCAGCACCTCTCTCCGGTTCAGGTACTCCACCTCGTCGCTGTAGTTCTGGGTGTACGCCGTGCTAGAGCCGGCGGACCGGGACTCGGTCCAGTGCACCTTGGCGAACCCCTCCGCGTGCAACTTCAGGGACTCCACTTTGGTCTCGCCGAACAGCTCCAGCACGACCCGTCCGGACACCACGTCCCCGCTGCTGAACACCGGGGCGCAGTCCAGCTCCGGCGAGTCAAACACCACCAGGAACTTTTTCAACTTGTTGAAAATCATTTCCGCAAGTTCGGAGGTTCTTCTGGGAGTCGGTTCGGTAAGCCTCTCTGTGTGGCGCAGAAAGTTTAAATTTGCTGTTGCGCTTCCTCGTTGTCTGGTTTGCAAACTCAAAGTGTGGAGCGACAGCAGCCCTTTTTGGTGGCTGAGCGAGGGGGCGTGGCCTCATAATTTATTATGTAAGGCCTCAGGAGAGCGAAGGCTGCGTTCACGGACCCCGCCGTGGCACAGACATTAGAGGAACTGAAGTTGCAAAACAACACATTCCCTAACTCAGTGAATCCCACGCTTTTTATAGCTAATGCCGCCTCAGTAAACATTTTCTTCCCCCCCCCCCCCGAGTCCCACGGTAATGTCTCTAAATGATGTTATAAACAGAGTTAGACTTTTTCAGCTTGTTGTGTATTGTTATAAAAACTCAACTTTATCCCAGAGTTAGGGCTGAATAACACATTTTACATCAGTTGATATTGATATTTCCTGATTAGGTTGTTGTTTTACATATCTGAAATATCGCACAACCTTTCCAGTTTTATCCACAGTTTTCACTTCACACATATTTTTATTTTTAAATAGTTATCGAGTAAAGTGCTGAAACATTAAACTGCTTCAAGTATCTCTAAAATGTTTTCGATGGTAATGAAGGGGGCATGAAGGATCTGCAGTAGCAGTCAGTCTTGTAACAAATCTGAAAAAGCCTCTGACTGAAGACTGCTTCTGACATGATAACAGCTCAATTTCCAACCAGTATGGATAATATCCCACATTAACATGTCCTGGATGACACCATCAGTAGTAAGTAGCAAGTAGAAAGCCGGACAGAGAGATGTTGGAGTAGGGGATTTGATTGAAGTTCCTCCTTCTCTCTGCTCTGCATCCACAAAGCCTCCTTTTCTTAAAATCCTCTCAGGATTTGGGTTTGTAGTTCACGTATTAACATAAAGAAGAAGTTAACAGAACTCAAAATTCAGGGAAATGCACTACTATTAGCCTTCACTGCTAACAGTAGTTAGCCTGGCCACTGAGTTAATTAATAATTAAATAATAGCTGGATTTCTCAAACGCAGTTTAAAAAACCCAAAAAAACTATGTTTCCATTTGGAGCTCCAAATGGAAAAGTATATTTATTTTAAATCCCATTCAAAAGTGAAGAGACACAGTTTATCTGCATTTCTGACCATTTGTACCTCAACACACAGACATCAATATGTTTGAAAAATGTTAGAAACATTCAACCAAATCAGAGCAACTCAAGATTATGATGCCAGAGTTCGCAAGAACAAATATTATACAAAGAGAAACTAAAAACACCTATTAAAACTCCAAACTCCCGGACTGTCCCTGAAGGCAGCACAATAAACATCCAGACTGGGTGTGGAGCCAGAGGAGGAAAACAGGGTGATGATTGATGGTTACAGGTTCTTAGAAGAAAACAGGCTTACTGAGCATGCCCCGCTCTGGCAGCGCTCAGGGGAAAATGGTTTCACTCTGGACTAAAGCTGTTTACTCCACTTCTTCTGTGTCGATGCGTGGGACGCCTCGCAGATGAAAAACATGCAGCGAAGTGCAAAAGTATCCCAGCAAACTGCTGCTGGGACGGAAACAATCACAAACAAACTGCAGCGTTTACTTTATTAACATTAATCTTACTGATGATTAGAATGAATGAACAAAGCCACATCTGAGCAAAATCATCCTAAACTTAGTTACAGATCTACTAGAAATTCATCCCAGCAGCTGGTAAATTATTATCTTTTCAGTGCAACTCCTTCAGTCAAAAGCCGTGTCTTCTCTGTGAAAAACAAAGTTGTTTACTCCTTTGTTCCCTGGGACAGGGGCTCTCTAGTGCCACCAACTGGAGACATGCTGCAGGACGATCATGCAGAAACAGTTTTGCAATGAAAAAAAGAAGAGCAGATATAAAACTAAGGTTTGATTTTCTCATTTAAAAAACAACAACAACAAAAAACAACCTAAAATTTGTTTAATAAATTTCCAAAAGAAATCCTTTTGACACAAATTATTTTTGAGGTGTTCAAAAGAATCAAGAATTTTACAAGAAAAATTGCCTACATGCGACATGTTTTATGGAAGAGCTATTTAATGTTTTGCTTTAAAATAATTTTAAAATGTCATAAATACAAGTGCGCCACCTGCTGGTGAACGTGAGCACAGTGAACTGATAGGAGCATCATGAGGTTCCCGAGGTGACAGATAACCCCGCGGCTGCCCAGATGACTCGGTGCGATTAGCCCGCCGCTGCGGCTGAAAACACCGCTTTAGCGCCGATGCGGGGGGGAAGCAGACGCATTTATTCATGCTACCTCCTGTCTAACCACAGGCCTTCTCAGTGTTGTGACACAAACAGCGACAGAGATGAAGCTGTTTGCCTCAAAACAAAGACGCATTTCAGTCTTAGGAAGGCGACTCTTCTCTGAAACAGATTAACTAAAAAAAATTACATTGTAGAAAATCGCCACTTTTTATGAGAGAAGTAAAGTTTTGTGTTTTGTAAATGATGCGCAGCTGCTCTGTTGAGGTGGGCGGGGCCAAGCAGAACCACGTGGTGTTTTCCTAGTTGCCATGGTGACGAAGGCTGTGTCTTTTTAAAAAGTTGGCTCCATTTCCTCACATTTGTCTCTCTGCTTTGAAAACAAGGTTTTTACTTCACCATTTATTCCTCATGTTTTTTACTTGTTTCATAATTTATATGTTTAATCATTTGGATTTTTTTATTATTATAATTTATGGTGCATTCAGGTCAAGACAGAAAAAAGAAGAAAACACTATTTTATATTACTTATCTCAAATTTCAGTATTCAGATTGATTTTTAATCACTGAACATTTGAGTCACATATTATTTCACTAATTATCTTATATTTGCAGATTTGTGAAGAAACTGAGACTAAACTTTAGACAATTACTTTTCTAAAAGTAAATCAGTCATTTAATAATTTCCTCTGCTAAAGAGTGTCAAAGAGATTATTTAGTAAAATAAAAAAAATAAATAAAAGGGCATGCAGTTTGATTACTGTCAAATAAACACATTATTTACAGCTATAAAATGGATTGACAGCCTTTAAAGCAAGCTTACCTAACAATCTGACCAAACATTAAAACCTATTTTCAGTTTCTTTAATCACATTGCTTATTCTCTGGTTCTTATAGCTGCCTGTCTTCTCCACACTGGGGGAATTTCACTCCTTTTACCTCAGTGTGTATTTGGACTCTGCACTAATGGATTTGTGCTTAATGTCAAAGATTATGTTATCAGGCAGATCCATCTGACCTTCTCCCAGGTTTCTACGCAACACATTTGGCTCGAGCATGTTCGCTCTGTAAACCTCAGGGACTGCAAGACTGTTCAGACACAGTGGCTGCTGCCTAATCGGGAAATTTAAAACACACTTTTCAGAGACACTACATCCTAATCCTACAAGCTACCATATAAGCCTTTTGCAACTACATCACTTCATCATTCAAGGCGCCATGACGGACGTCGGAAATGAGGATCAGGAGTATTGAACAGAGCGACTGAAATTGTTTTCCCAAGTTGTTTTTGCTAGTTTATTCATGGCTTCTACTTGTTGGAGTCAAACTAATTTGTCTGTGATTGTAACACACCTGTTTGGGGCTCATAGACGGGGGTATTTACAGAAGCTTGAAACAGCTAGCTTACAAACCAACCGACCCGTTTCTCCTCCCTCCTGACGTGTTGATCAAATTACCTACTTAGCCTGAATTCAGACCACATGATTCATATCAGTACATCATTTCACCTGAGCAGCCTTAAAACCGTACAACAGAGGAAATGCTAACCAGTTTTTTCCATACATGTTTGGATACATAATGGTGGACATTGTTTCAATTGTTATTAACGGTTAGACACGTACCTCCATGTCTTGATGGAGCTCAGAGACATCCTTCATAATCGTTCTAATCATACTTACTTATAAAGTATGTAGATACTTTTGATTTGATATTGATCATCTTGTAAAAAGCGTTCACTGCTATTCCACGGTTACACCGAGGACTGACAGTCATTATGACTGCTATCCATCGCTGCCATCTTTCCTCATTAAAAGTTATTCAATAAAATTACAAATGTGGTTTACATCCTTGTCTGTTTGTGTAGCCGACTGTGCAGCACCTATGACCATTTTTAAACTGAAATCAACTAAATAAAAGCAATATTAAGCTACAGATGTCTGTTTTTAAACAGGCTTTGCAGGAGGGCATTGGTTGTTTTGCCGTCCGTCATGCGCAAAGGGTTCATAGGGATTACTATATAAAAACCACATTGTGCATCCACTAAAAGAATGATAAGTGTTGTGCAACCTAATTATCTACCACCAGTACTGACCTCGGATTAGATTTAGCCTCTTCCTGAAATAGGTGATTTTGGACGTGTAGTCGTTGTACACCGAGTTCATGCCGCGGTTCTCCAGCCAGTGCGCCGTGGCCACCCCTCTGCCCTGCACCTTCATGGACTGCACTCGTGTGTCCCTGCTGACCTCCAGGATCACCTGGCCGGACGCCACTTCCCCAACCGTGAAGGCCGCATCCGCAGGACCGTCCAGCACCAGGGTGAACGTCTTGATGGAGCTCAGAGACATCCCTTCATAGACAGGACAGAAGAGTGATGGTAAGACTAGTAAAATCCAGTAATGTCTATGCAAAAATAATCCAAAATAGTCCTTAAGCAAGCAAGAGAGATTATGCTAAATTTATTTATAATCTGCCAGAGTGGTTTTAGATTACTGATACTACTGTATCAATGATCAAACAATTGATCATTGTTTGAGCAATGATCGAACAAAGGACCACTCTAGGTCCTTTGTTTTAGGCCCAACACAATAGAGAACCTTAATTGTTCGTGCGAGATGAACAATTAAGGTTCTCTATTGTGTTGGTCCTAAAAAAAAAAGGAAAAAAAAGAAAGAAAATTAATTTGTAAGTAATATACAATGGCTTTAAATATCTGGCACAACTGTACTGTCGTCTTTTAAAGGCTTATTTTTAGGGAGGGGAGTTTGTTTGGGTGGATCCCTGATGGTCTAATCGCTATCTGCTGCTGCACAGGCTGTTTTAATATAAAGAGCAAAGTTATTAACAATATTTCTTTTTTTTTTTTTTGGTGGCTGAATTTTACCAACAAAAAATGTACACTGATTACATTCAATATGTATTAATATGCATCTTAATTCAAGTAAATGTGCAATTTAAGCTGAGAAGAACTTTGTTAGACTTCTTAAAAAACATCTACAAATTGTTAATTTTTAGGGCACATTTTTATTTAGTTTTAGTCTTAGTTTTGACTAAAATGTTATTTAGTTTTTGTCATAAATGTTTCAGTCTTAGTCGATTAAATCGACAGCAGACAAAATTATATCTAAAATGTAAATATTTTTTCCATCAATTCACTTGAATTATTAACACAAAATGAGTAATCAGTCATGGCCATATCTGACTATAAAATACATAGAAAAACAGATTTAACATTTTTCACATCTTTATTTTTTTACCTTGCTTTCAATAATAAAATATTTTAACCAGTCACAACAAATTGCAAATTGTGTTCCTCATTTACAAAAATAAATGCCAAACGTGTATTTATTTGGCATTTATTAAACATAATAAATAAATAACATAATAAATTTTATTAAAATTTTTATGTTTAATAAAACATAAAAATTTTATGTTTTATTAAACATAAAATTAGCTAATGCTACTGTATCAATGATCATTTAAACTCAACATCTAAAACAATTAAACCACAATGTTTCACTGTCGCACATCAGGAAACGGAACCAATCATGAAATTAATGTTCCACCACCATCATCACCATTACCAGTCTCAGGAGATGATTATAGAAGAACTGTGATTCTCATCACTGATCGCCTCCAGTGCTGTTTTCCTGATCCATTCTGTCTGATATCAACCAGTCCACTATACGCCACTTAAAACAATCACTGACACGTTTTCAAAATCGTCTTGAATTCAACTTCTTTGAAGCTGTTCATCCAGGGATGCGCATCTTCCTACTCACGTCTGCACTTTTTGCAAGTTTTCGCTGCTGAGGACGCGGTGTAGCACCGGGTGGACGTTTCTTTAAAAAGGCGCAGGTGTTGAGAGCAGCGCGATGTTTGTTGTCCGTTTCTAGGCAACCGTGACGTCAGCACCTGAAGGCAGCGTGTCGTACGTCATGGTCGCCGTGACAGTTCTCATGCCCTTATGTTTCCCATTTAAATACTAAATAATGAACAATTCCGTATTTTACAAGTCTAGACCAGTCAAAGTAAAAACTTTCTACACATAACAGTAACTTATAAGCGACCAGATTGACCTTATCACGCAACCAAGCGCACTTTAGCCTGATGTTAGCGCCCATGTGCGCCAGGAGTTGTGTGTAATTTTATGGCTTAATATGAAATTTATTACAAGCCGATTGTCGGTAACATTGTATGCATATTTGTAATATCTTTGAAAAAATATCAGTGCGGTGAGCCACCGGGCGCCATATGTCTCCCTTAACAATTAACCTGTTCTTTTAAAAGGGTTATAGCCTATTTAAAATAAGTCCATAAATCATCTGGGTTTGCATTCATTTAGCCCTTCCTATAAGTATCCTCAACAAAAACTCAGAGGTCATCAAGAGCCATGTTATTTTTGTCATGGTGTAATGAAAAAAGGGGCGTCAACGAATTTTGTTGTCCTCATCCTAAGCGAAGCAACACATATTTGTACTTTGGCTTAGAAAATTAATTATTGTGACTAAAAAAAGCTATCACAAGAAAAATAATACTCCTTATAATGTAACTTATAATAATGAGAAACGTCCAATTTTCATTGAAACTATAGGGGATTGCATTTTGAATTCAGCTTTGCACTTTACACCGATACCAACAAAAATCCGTTCAAAAGCAGATCATGTCAACAATAACCAAGCATTTATTAATACATATCTGTAAGCATGTTTATTCAGGGTGTGTGCTGAAATATACAGAAAACCTAAATAAAACAGGTTTTCCCTTTTGACAAACGTAAACCTCATAAAGCACAGCATCTTAAATGAATTTGTGCACGTACGTATGAAAAGTTAAATTTAAATAAGGGACATAAAGAAGAATACAACAATTATAACACCGGCTGCTGTTATTATGGTGTTTTTTTGTTTTTCACCCATTTTTGTTGCACTAGTCTCAGCCAAGGAGGCTTCAGAAACGGCCCTGCGCTTTATAAACGCAGCTGAAGGGATGAATGAAAGTCTCCACACTCACCGACAGGACGTGGGTTACGTGAGCGCCGTCACGAAGATGCAGCTCTGCAGGAACTGTTTTCTCCTCTTGGTTTCCAGTGTAAGTCCCCCTTTTTAAAAGACAGCATGGAGCAACCCCCGCTCTGCTTTACACCAATGACAAGGAGATTATGGCGGTCACGCCCGCCCTCACAGCCAAAAGAGAGGAAGAGGAGGAGGCCGATGGGACCCGCGTGGAGTGGGCTGAGTCTGTCACGTGACAGCCAAAGCGTGGTTTTAAACACACACACACACACACACACACCGCTTCAGACTCTCAGAGCTTTTGCACAATGCCAAGAGAAGGTTAAGGTTATATATTTTTTTAAATATACATTTCTTTAAAAAATAAAAAGGAAGATATAATCTTAATTTTTACATTCTCTTGCAAAGTCCGCATATTTTACTCAAAAGAAAACTTTGCTGCTCCCAAATCGGCTTTCAATTAATTTAATAAACTTGACTGTTTACAGCAAGCATTTTCATAGAGTGACAGAAATCCTGATTTTATTGACTAGAATTTACTAAATTGTGTTTTTTTCTTTCAATTGATAACTAGGAAATTAAGTAACTTTATTTATTTTAATAAGGAAAACATGGAAAGCCCGTTTTAGGTTTTGGACCTGGAATAATTTACACTTCCCTTTCCATCAAATCTGACTACTTTATTTGTTTAATGAAAATATCGCTAGGTAAAATACCTTTTTTTTGATCTTAAAGTCATTTTGACTTCACGATTTTGGTCCATGTGACCAAAAGTTTAAAAGAATGGCCTCCATGTGGAATAGTCCATAACTTATATTAAAAAAACCCCTAAAATGCCACCCAGGAAAGAAGAAGCCATGACTAAAATAGCTGCAGAAAACCTGATGGTTTTCAAATGCACTCAGAGACTAATTACATTTTTGGTGACATTTCCTGTGGTCTGATGAAACTAAAATTTTAATGTTGGCCACAAGACCTTAATTTAATATAAAGTAAAACAGGGAATTTCTAAGTCCAAGAACATCTGTAAGACCTGAACAATGACCCTACACATAGAATAAGGATATCAAAGTTAGCATTTTGGAGTGACAATTTAAAAACTGATTTCACTTCCATGGAAAAGCTGCACACAAGTCAGTCGGCCAAAATAAACATTTGACTCTGCTGCACCAATTCTGCCACGGGGAATGATTAAAGTTTCAGAAAGCCGTTTCCAAAACCTTTAACTCAAGCTGCGCTTTGAAAAACAATTCTAAGAAATGCAGAGCACACATCTATACTCATCTGAATTTGAAGACAATGGACAAACACATACCCTCATTATTCTGTGGTTTAGGAAACAAAAAGATATATTTTTTGTGAACTGATGTGAACACTTTAGTCTCATTTTATGTCAGACAAAAAATAATAATTCTATAAAACTAATTTTTAATGTAATCTTCCAGCTGACTTTCCAGCACTGCTGTATTTTAATTGTTAAATGATTAAAGTTAAGGCTTCAAATAAAACTGTTGGAATTGCTTTAAACATTAAAAAATGTTTAATATTTGAAAAAATCTTCCAGCATTTGCTGATTTATTTCTGGGGGAAAAAAAGGTTTTGGTGACCTTTAGACCTGGTTCTTGCGTCACTGGACCTTTCTGGCCAGAACTTTTTTAGTTGCTTTTTTTTTTGTCAGGTTGTTGAACTCCATGTTCAGTTTATTTACAGCTGCTCACCTGCCTGCCAACACTCCCCTCTTTTTTCTTCTTTTCAGGCTCAGGGCTCTGTTATTGCTTCAACATGGTTTGTTTTTATGGGCAGATAGTAACCTTCAGTGCTCTGAAATTTACAGTGTAAACAGGGTGGAAGTGCAGGGCAGCCAGGAGGGGATCCTTCTGCCAAACAGTAACCTTCTTAGCACTTCTAAATGTCTTCAAAGAGGAAAAACCCACATTAATATTTGAAGCTACTTCTGTTGAAGGAGATGCTAAGGGTTTATGTTTAAGCTAGAGCAGTGGCTACACTCTGCTTCAATATTTCACTTTTCTGGGAATTGATTTATTTGGACTCTAAGAATTTGTCTGCAGTTCATTGGAAGAGAGAAGTTTAGCCGGGTTGGTGAGGTGAATAATTTAAGTTACTAAACTGGAGAATGGTGCGTTTCACACCAGCCCTGTTCAGTCCACATTAACCAAACTCCTGCACAAAAAAAACAAAAAAACAAAAAAACTCTGGTGCACTTAAAAAGCTCGGTCTCGGTTCAGTTGATGTGATCTCTGATGTGATTTGAAAGCATTTACATTGCATATTTGCTTCTTAATGTATTGACACTGTTCAGAAATATTTATTAGGAACTGCACTCCTGCTGTGATTCACAGTCATCTCAGCTTAACTTGGCTGTGGCGCTGGTCGTACGGAGTAGGCGGCGGGAACAACGGTCTGACAATGTAGTCATCCCTGTGGGTTGTGCTGAAATTCATGTCGCCCAGCGGGAACTTGAAGTTGGTCTGTTTGGTTTAGAGAGAGCAGATTAATCACCAAGCTTAGACATTCCTGCCTGGAGCTTTTTTAGTGAAAAGGTGAAAATCAGATGAGGGATTTTATTTTGTGATTCCTCACCTTTATCTGCGACTCACACGGCTGCTGTTGGATGATCTTCTTAGGCTTGTAGTCAGCCATTGTGATGGTGATTTTTGGGCCCAAATCTGAAAAACAAGTAAATAAACAAAGTATTATTATTTTTATTATTACTATTTTTATTCTTCTTATTATTATTACTACACATACCTGGTCCGGTCAGTATGTGACTATTCGGATAGGTAGTTACTTGGGGTTGATCTACTTCCTGTTGGATGTTCTGCTCAGGTTTTTGGGGTTTGTAGCTTTCTTTCGACACACTTTCTGGGCCAAAATACACGTTACTTTTCGTAATCAAGTCGGGATCGGGTAAACACACTGGAGGCCGTGAGCCGTTCTGTTGTTGTGTGAGTAAATGTGACACTTTCAGATTACTGAATCAGGATTATCTACACTAAATTAAATAAAACTCCCAAGCTCTATGAAGGGCCCCAAACCGGCCTTATATGAATTTACCAGTTATGAATTAAGAAGTATGTCATGTTTGTGGTAATATAAATACATGAAAACTGTAAAAAGTAAAATTTGTAAGCTTACACTTGAGAAGAAGATGTTGTTGGTGGTCAAAGGAATATTTTCTCCGCCTTGCTCCTTGTTAGTGCCAAAGGGCAGAGAGCTGGCACGCTGATGATGTTTTAATGGGGCAATAGGCTCTGTAGTCAAGGAAACAAAATTTGATTAATTAATGCATTAATATTTTATCAGTTCACTTGATTTATTCATAAAATGTTGCTATATAATGTGGTATAGAGTGACAATTTTTTATTATAAAACTTTAGTTGTGTTGAGTCTAGAAGTAAATATATCTGGGAAATTTTTAATGCATCTATTGACATGAAATTCACACCAGAAACCTTATTAAAGTGAGACTTATTCACACTGTTGGAGGATTTAGATTTAAATGGGGGTTTTTTAAACCAAGATTTTTCTTTCTGGTAGAAAATTAGATGTACACCTCTCAAAAGCAACAAAACAAAATAAATGAGTGTCACTTAAAACATCTTTATATTTTATAAAAGAAATTAGATATTGAAAGGAGTTCAACAGTTCTCCTCGTCCAACGCTTAAAATGTTTATTGGTAATAATCTATTTATCCCAACTGACCATCGTTTTCAATGGCTGCTTTTTTGTTGTTTATCCTCGTTGCATGCAAAGAGAGATAGAGTTTGAGGAAACTTAGCTTGTTCAGTTTTTGCAGCAGA